CTTTTGTTTACAAGACAGTTTTCACACCGCCCAAGTCAATTGCAGTAAATTACATATTGCAATAAAATAAACTACAATCTTCTTTAAATCACAAACACACTACACCAAGTTTAACTGTTTATTTTATGCTTAAACTGAATTTAACGATGGCATAAAACCCTTTTTTTTTAATAGCTCTGTCTTTTAGTCAATTTATTTTTATGCTCCCATTCCACTCAATTAGAATGCTTCCATTCTCACAGGTAGAGTCCCCCCATTTTGGAAACCACAGAGTTAATGTAACATTAGGATTTTCATAAAAAAAAAACAACTTAATTTTAATGACTCACAAGTTAATGTTAACATAAAATCACATAAATAGAATGACTAAAAACATTCAGACTTTCTTGATTGAATTACTAAAGTGACTACTTTGTGTAGATATACCTTTTTAAGTCTCCTGTAAATTAAGGTCAATTTAGTAAAACGTAAATCCTTCTCCAGTAGAGAAATATAAAAGATAACAAGCAAGATAAATAAATAAATTCATTGCCCCTCGTTTCATTAGCATATCCAGTGTCTTCAGCGTTTTGGGTTCCTGCTACTGATGCACGCCGATACTGTATCACCATTAGGAGGTTGTGCCCTGTTGGTAAAACATAACTTTCTTTCCCTGGAGACCACATAAGAGCTACAATCACCAATTCATCAGAGCAGAAACAGATGTTGATGCTACGGTCAAAATGGTGACGCAATGTTTTATAGGTTTAAATGTTTTATATTGTGGAAAAACGAAGTCGGTTCAATGATTTGTTTGGATCTTCTCCTCCTTGTATTTATGATCTTCTAAACATCCCTGATTGCTCTGCGTAATTATCATATTCGCTGAACTGCTCAATCATGTCCAGAAACTACTGTTTGCCTTTATGCCTGTCCGCTTATTAAAAAAAAGAAAGAAAAAAGAAGGCTTATTTTGTGTACGTGCCTTGGGAAGGATGTTGTGGGAGTGATGGCTTTGCAAGAGTGGAATTAAACTGAACCAGACAAAGAGCAAAAACTATAATACAAGGTCACATCCATCAAAGTTTCATACTCCGGATCTTCCAAGTTTGATTTCATCGTGGGAATTTAGGCGGATCCTGGTAGTTTCGTGGAGAAGCCGAGGTTGGGAGCAGATTTTGACTGATAACATTGTGCAGCAGTTTAGTAAAAATATCCAGAAAACTTTGTGGATTTGGCTCAGCTATCCCTGCATCCCTGACAGAATCAGAACAGCTGTAGGAGAGTTGACAGTCGCTTTTCATCGCAAAAAACGAGATCTTAGGTTTTTTTTTATTGATCTAAAATAAATGAGTCTTTAAGGCAGTTAATCTTTCCAGATGGCTTCCACAGTTTTGGATCAGATCATCGGCATATTGATTGATTTCAGAAATGCACCAAGATTCCATTGCCAAAGTAAGTATTCTGGAAGAGCTCAGCCATAGAGCTGTCTAACTTAATCCCTCCAGGCTGTGGGATGGAGCTATCCGTACAAGAAGGACAGCATATATCTATAATTTCTTTGCATATATCTTACATTTCTTTATATTTTTTGCACAACTAATAGCACAAGGCATACTGGAAGAAAAAAACTCTGCTGTTATATTCATGTAAACTAGAGCCATTTTTAGTGTTAGGGCATATCAGGAAATGTTTCACAGCTCTTCAGTCAGACAGGGCTTAAGAAAATACTTAACTAAAAGTTGACTTTTTGACTCTTGTTTAGCATTTAATACAATCAGTTCAATTAGTATTGTTAAAAGCAGTCCCCGTCTGCATTTACTGCAGCTGTGATTGCCAAAGAGGGTTACGATTTCCAGACTGTGTTCTATTAGAGAACTGGACTTAAGAGTTATAGGGCTACAAATAATTGTTTTTGATTAATCTGTCAATAATTTTTTCGGTTAATGGATTAATAATCGGACAGTAAAAGGTTCCTTAAAGAAGACTTTTTAGAAAAAAAAAAAAAAAAAAATATATATATATATATATATATACAGTATATATATATATATTTTATTTTTTATATTTTATTATTTTTTTAACAATTTTGGTATAATTACAGCTCTAAGTGGGTTGCTCTTTCAGCTAAAGGTATGTTTTAGAGTCTCTACACTCTAATTAACAACTATTTCATTACTAAATTAGTTGAGATCATTCAATAATCAATTAATCACGATTAATTCAATTAATTGTTTCAGCCTTAAAGAGTTTAAAACAGAGCATATTTGCTCCATTTTTTATTAGTATGTGTCTTGAGCAAACTCTTGAGTTTAAAAGTTACAACAGTTCATTAACAGCTAACACCTAAAAAATGGATTTCCTTTCTAGACACTTTCTATCTGAACTGGTTGAGCATAGATTGACTTCCATCATTAGCCAATTTCAGTTGATCTTAAGCTAAATTCTTTATTTAAGTTTAGCCTAATAAAATGCCACCCTTAAGATCGATTGCAGAAACCTTACATGTTATATACTCCCAGCTAAAGTAAGCTACTATCATGGTTTAAAGTTCAGGATATACTGTTACAATTTGGTGAGTTGAATGTTAAAAAAGCAACATTTGAAACGGAAACCAAAGACAACCCCGGAATCATGTGGGCATCATGAGATCGCATAACTTGACCACATACAGAGGTAGTCTGCACTGCTGAGGCCTAAAAGAACAGGAAGTTGTCCTACTCCATACCGGGAAAACATCTAATCAACTGACATTTTATCTGCGCAACTAACTCCTACATCCTTGCATATTTTCTATCTATACAGACAGATGGAAGAAAGAAGTGGAGAGTATTGCTTACAGGAAAAACCTCAGAGTCTCTTTTCTGGTCATCTCCAAAGTTACGGCTAAAAAAAAAAAATCATTGTTTGGCCAGTCCTACCTGTCCTCATGGATCCCATTGCTTTATTGTAACAACTGTTCAGAGCAGATCCAAGTAGATACCAAGGTATAAAAGGGTTTTTAAAAGGTTACATTGTCTAACTGCTAAAATTTTCCATCATGACGTTTCAAACAGTTGTTACAGATTTCTTTGACAATTTTCTGTTGCAGTGTTGCAACAGGGTTCCAGTATGTTTTTACGAAAATAAGAGGAGCCCAACCATAGGTCAGCTTAGCCGGTACGTAGGGTGCTTGTATTTAGGTGAAAAACAGAAACAAAAAAATTCAAAAAGCAAATATAGTATCTTTATAGCAGTTTAAAGTCAGAAACCTTCACAGTAACTTGTTGGAAATCTGAACTCCAAACACCTTGTACCACAGAGCCTATTTTTAAAGTGCCAATAATAACTAAATAAAATAATTTAAAAAAATATTCTAACACACTTAAACTCTTCCTTACTAGTATAAATATCCAAAATCAAATCAATCACATGACTCCCGCACAAGGAGTCACATGATCTGAACTGAAAAACTGGAACCTACAAACCAGATTATGGATGTCACAACTAAAGCAGAGTTGTGACATCCAGGACGAGCTGCATCAATTTAAGCAAGCACAGAAAGGTAAGTTAAAAAGCAAGTAGGTTTCTGAGTCTGTGTGTATGCATTTTTGCGTTAGCATGTCAGTAACAGCAAACTTTGTTTATAACCCTACCAAGGTGATCATGTTGTTGGCGAGGAGGATGATGGAAAATCTGTTAAAAAGGTAATTAGAAGCTGCAAAGACCCGTGTCTGCAGAGGAGCCAAAACATCCAGCTAGATTTAAAACAGAACAGTTCAGATCAACTAGCACCTTTCATCTATTAGATGTGGTCCTGCTAAAAGACAACAGATTCATGCACTGCAGACGGACAGTACCAGACGGAGGGTACCCCAAAATTGTATTGAAGTAAGAGTAAAAAGAAGAAATCATCTGATTTCTAAAATTATGCATTGATATTTTATGAAGAAATAACTGAAGTAAAAGTAAAAAGTGCGGCACTACAAAAAAGTCACTACCCACCTCTGCTGCAGAAGCCTACTGGTGATGATTTCATTTGATACTGGTTAAACTAGGAACATCTAAAGCATGCAGACCTCCAGGTCGGACGCCACTAGTTTAGTTAATTTATTGGTTTAAACAGACCAGTTACAGACCTTAATTTCACAAAACCTGTTTACAAACCTGACCATTTTCATTGTTAGGCTCCCTATTTAATATCACTGAGCTGGATGTGTTTGACTAAATATTGAACTAAAGAATAATTTCACTGCCAAGATGTTCTAGTAAATGAAGACAAAGGCAAAACATTTTGTGGCTACAATCAGTGCTTCTATGTTGATTTTCTATGGCTGCTTGAACCCAGATCTACCCGGCAGATGGCCGCTCACACTGGGCCTGGTTCTGCTGGAGGTTTCTTCCTGTTAAAAGGGAGTTTTCCTCTCCACTGTCACTACAAGTATGCTTGGTGTGAGGGATTTCCTTCAGGTCAATGAGTCGATGCAATCAGCTGGTTTTCCTTAGATAGAAACCTGACTATGATTTGGTTGAATTGTCTCTGTAACGTACCTTGGGATGAGGTATGTTGTAAATTGACACTATTTAAATAAACTGAATGTAATTTTAGTGGAAGGGAAATCTAGAAAGTAAATAGAGCTGAACAGGAAATCAGGTTAAGTTAAAAATATGAATATTGCAGAGCAGGTTGTTCCTTCCCATAGAAGATGAAGGATAAATAAGGCACAAAAATAAAAATAGAGTGCAATGAAGACAAAAAAGGTTATAGATCATTTCTGATCACTTCTGTAGAATACTGTTATTTCTCAGTAAATATATGAACAATGCCACACCTGTTGAAATTCTTTCCGTTATCTGGTTATTCACTGCAGCAGGCCACACTGGGACAATGCGCAGGTTCTAAGGCACTCAATGAATGTCTTTTATCAACATGTGGGATTAGAGCGCAGTGCTCCACAGAAAGCACATCATTGTTTTGTTTCCTTTCACAAAAATGTTCAAGTTGGTTCAAAAGAATTAAGAAAAGCATTTTTTTTTTTTACCGTCTGTTTGGTTCCATGTGGTGGCAGCGTGTACACTGAGGTCCTGGGCGAGCTCAGATCCTGTAGACAGAGGAAATGAAGACAATTAGCATGAATGGCTGCCAGATGAAAAAGTAAAAACAGCTCAATTTAAATAGATATATTGCTGAGAAACACAATGCTGAAAAACACCCCATAGATACATGTAGTGTTGGTGTAGGATTGCTGATGCAGATCAAAGGATCAAGTGTACAACAGGGAGCCTATCAGCTGGCCATTTGGGCCTAATGCTCCTTTATTACTAACTGAAGACTGAGTGGAGCGATTCTTTTCATTACTAGAGAAAGTGGGCTATAGTTCTCCATGCTGCGGGTCATGGGTGATTCCCTGCAAATTAAAAAAACCAAACATGAAGGACAGACAAGTCTCCTGAAACAGCAGAGCTAATAACAAATGATTCCCTGAGGTTACCTGAACACTGACATCTAGCTCCTAGATAGCATCGCATTATATTTGTGTGATGAAGAAGCAGATATCTATGAGGAAATTGAATTTTATCAGTGGAAGCATGTCTGTGGTTCATTTTCTGCAAGATAGAGCTTTAAGTAGATGAATGAAAGGCTGAACTGATTTTACAGCAACGTTTCTCTTTTACAGGAAATTTGTGATTCCCCAAAACTTTAAAATGAGTAAAAAAAATAATCATATGAACTGTGTTTCTATGAGCTCTTTCTTTCCTACATAAACGTTTGAAGGGAAAAAAAATCAGAAGTCTACTTTTACATTTTTCAAAATAAGAGGCGTCTCTTTTCATAACAGTGTCATAAAAGAAGGTGATGCAGTGAAAAAAGCATGCTGTGAATTTGCCCCCGGGACACTCGGAAACAAATTAATTAGGTGATAATGTGTTAGATCACACATTCGGTGTCAGGGTGGCAACTCTGCAGCTGTTCTGGATGTTAATAAGAAATGCTTTAGGCCTCTATACCTGTCAGCAAGGATGTTCATTGTCTTGACAACCAAATAAATTGAAGTTGCAGTTTCTACCACTATTGTCACCGATATACCGTAAAATCATGATGCTGAAAACACACCAAAAAATCACCCTCATCTGGAGCTCAGTGAACTCTATCCCATATACTACATGGTGCAACATATTTTCACAAGGTTTACAGTTGTATGGTAATAAAAGTGCAATAATGTAGATTTTACAGAACACTACATGGTATCAAAGGACGTCTTGGCCCCAAAGTGGGTATAATTTTACTCTTTTTTTTTAGGGGTGGAGCTGATGGACTTTAAGGGGCCTTGAGAACCTTGGTTAACAAAAGACAGAAAAGAAGAGGCGCTGCAGTTCACTGGTTTCACTAAAGGCAGAGCAAGTCGAGCATAGCAGCAATCTGAGAGCTCAGCATTCGGGGCAAGTTATGGGAAAAGCAAGGAAGAGAGACAGAAGGAAGTACTGGATGTTGTGTTATTAATGATGGTAGTGCAGTATCAAAGTTGAGCTATTTGGGAGCCTCTTTAGAGACAAAAGACACAAGAAAAAATAAACTAGAAATAAATGTCCACTTTCTTTTATTTACTTTTTTGCAAGATAGACTTTGAGTGATTTTGACCAATCTTTTAAGTATGGAGAAAAGAAAAGAAAAAGAAAAAAAAAAAGAAAATGTTTTTAATTAACCAGATGATGCTATTCATAATGCATTGGCCTCTGTTAAAAAAAACTACCAATTCTGAACTGACACTCATACAAATTAGTGTTGCACAGATACCGATACAAGTATCGGGTGGGGCCCCGATCCAGCACTAAAATGGTGGTATCGGTATCGGAGAGTACCAACAAATAGGGCACCGATACCATTTCGAGAGCCAAAAAGTTTATTCATCTATTGTCACCTATTCCAGGTAGGCAAGAGAACAGCTATTGGATTCACTTTGTATTTGTCTTTTTCCTGCTTCACAAAGGTAGGCAGCAGCTTGACAAAGCCATGATAGCAATTATTTTACATACAAGTAGTATGCAGTTCTTCATATATATATACACAAACAGATGGTATCGGTATCGGCCAATACTGCACAGCCAGGTATCGGGTAGTGGGGCCAAAACATGGCATTGGCGCAACACTAATATAAATTTCAAAAGGTTTGTTAAAAAAATGCATTTCCATTGTGCTTAGAGCAGCCATTAACCACCTTTTTTTTTATTTGCTGTTGAATTATCTTAAAATGTAAGTATCAATATGTTGCATAACTACCACAGTGATGTAATTCAGGTACCAGCAAAGAAGAGTCTTTAATTTAGCAATCCAATTTACGATCAGATGAGATAAAAAATAAAATAAAATTTAAATTGGTATTAATCTTATCAATTCTTGAACATTCAAATTGCTGCCCAGCCCTAGTGACGTCGCCATATGTTGATATTGTGCTTGCTAATAATAAACAGGAAGTAGAGGTAGCAAACTAGAGTGAATCAAAGATCAGAAACAGACCGAGCTTTTGATGACTGTGCTGCAATCGGGCCGAGTGTAATGGATTCAGCGGTAAATATTAGCTACATCAACACTTTCTTTAACAAATGTTTCTTTGCATCTCCTCTTAAGTGCATTTACTCGCTTTCAAAAAAGAGCAAAAAATTAATATTAATTAGTTAAAATATAATTTAGTTCGTTTATTGGAATTTTGCTGTTTAAAACAGACTTCTGTAATACTACTTATGAAATACTTCAAAAGGCACATTAAAACAGACACTTTTATTTTAGGGTACATTTGTTCTCTACCTGCATAGGTCCCACTCCTGTCACTCTTTCCAGTGTATTTATATATTTAAGAACAGCATGTAACCTACTGACTTTAAGCGCATGATAAAGTTTTCAGTTTTTTTGCATGCAGGGCATCGTCCATGTTTAAAATTCAAACTGGATCACATCTTTTATTGGTTCCAACTGGTTCACCATAAAACTAAATATGACATATTATACTAGTCACTAGTTGGTGGACGATGGAAATCACCTTTTGAAAAATTAGATAGGGAGTAAATAATCAGGAAAAAATATTATTCTTTTTCCATCCAGATTTCATAATGCTAATATCAAATTCCAATTCCAATATCAAATTTTTTTAAAAGCCTGTAGAGGAACTCTTTCCTTGCTTGATATCTTCATAAAGTTATTCTAAATTACTTGTATGGTCATTTATTTGGACATCATCCTCAGCTTTATAAAAGTGTTTGCGTAAAACATTTTGTTCAGGGAAGGATGAGAAAGAGGAGGTGAGATCTTAATTCAGCTTGATTATCTAAACTTTATATCTTCAGTTAAATGACTTTAAAGCAATGGAATTTAAATAACTGAGCTGTAAAAATATTTTTATTGGACTTTTCCATGGAAATGAACAATGATCTAAACTGACTTGGAAGGAATGCTTTTTATTTTCACTCGAATACCACTGCTAGTTTGAAAAGAGTTAAAATTTCAATTGAATGGGACATATTTAGAAGTTCACAGAAAACTAAGTGGGAGCAGCTTTCATCCTCATCCAGCAGTATTTGGCGTCCGAAGATAAAAATCAGGCAGGGACACAAACTTAGGCCTCATACAGCTATCAGATTTTGGTGCAACTTTGCAATGACGGCATTATGGGAATTAGAGCTGGGCTCAGGAATTAGGAAAAGGAAATAAAAAAAGAGTGAAGAGAAACAAGAAACAAGAGCAGCCTTAGAGGGTTATGCTAAACCAAAAATCAGAAATGTTCAATTTAAACTGTTATGCATATTGTAGCAACTAATATGCTGTTATATGGTCTGGGGGGCTGTGTTTGGAGCCAGGGTGGTTGGTGTGGTGAGAAAGACTGATGTATGAGTGCTCCCACTCTGTTATTAAGGCCTCTCCCAAAGACTTCTTCCATCCCGCTTAGCTGGAAAACTGACCTAACTGAGGGGTTATCTGGAACATTTTTACAAACCCAACATTTTTACAGCATAATATTTATGTCTTAAAGAGATGAAAGACACACAAGTACAGAAAATTAGGGATGATAGATAATTCTGCCATCCATTTATCTTCATCAATCCGCTTTCTCCTCTAATCTTATAGAATGAAATGTTTGTACTTAAGGAAGGTTTATTTTCCTGTCCATAAACAGGGTCATTCAAAGTTATTCTCAAATTTAGGTAAAGGGAAACATTGGGAGTCTACATAATGACTTCTAATCCAACCCATTCACAAATAATCCAGACAAAACTTTCGAGGAAGAATAATAGGGAAATTGATAGGGAGAAAGAAACTTAGAGATAAATGAATTCGGGGGGCGGACTTGGAAAGCATGACAGAAATAAAAAAAACAGTAACATGGAAACTTCTAAGGTAACTCCAAGAGAAAACACAATGTTATAAATCAGCGACATCTTTTAACACTAAGCACAGTGCTGGTTTATATTGGCTGCAGCTTTATATTAGCGGGAGTGACTATAAATCATTATCATACCTTAAGGTATTCACATACGAGAGCCTAATGACAGACAACTGACAGGATGACAAAAAACAGCGAGCAGGCACAGGCCAGTATGATAATTGCTCTCATAGTATAATAACATAAAATTCAATGGGATCAACCAATGGGATCTGCATTCAAAATGAAACCACCAATCCTACTGTACTTCTGCTGACATAACCCAAAACACAGAGGAAAAAAAAACTCCCACTTTTATCCACAGCATCTGTAATGTCAATGTTAGTTGAATGCAGAAATTCTTTATGAAGAGGTTTACCAGATGCAGCCAATGAGACATTTTTTATAAATCGGAAATGTGGATTAGTTCCTTGGGTTGAAGGAATAACATTTCACTCTGAATTAGTAGTGAAAACTATTCTCAGATGTTTAATCTGAACATGAAGGAAACGCAGGTAAAAACATTTAAAAAGATGGATTGATTTATTGACTGACTTAATTGATCTCACAGTGGAGAAATTTACTCATTTCATCTACATAGATAGTCAAAGGAGAAGAAGAATGTGCCAAAGAAAGAAAAAGGTGCATGGGGCATATACAGTAGGGGTGTGGGAAATAATCGTTTTGGG